CTAGGTTGGTATGTATACTTTACTGCACTAGGTTGGTATGTATACTTTACTTCATAGGTTGGCATGTATACCCTACTCCACTAGGTTGGCATGTATACCCTACTGCACTAGGTTAGTATGTATACTCTACTGTACTAGGTTGGTATGTATACTTTACTGTACTAGGTTGGTATGTATACTTTACTGCACTAGGTTGGTATGTATACTTTACTGCACTAGGTTGGTATGTATACTCTACTGCACTAGGTTGGTATGTATACTTTACTGCACTAGGTTGGTATGTATACACCACTCCACTAGGTTGGTATGTATACTTTACTGCACTAGGTTGGTATGTATACACCTCTCCACTAGGTTGGTATGTATACTTTACTGCACTAGGTTGGTATGTATACACCTCTCCACTAGGTTGGTATGTATACTTTACTGCACTAGGTTGGTATGTATACTCTACTGCACTAGGTTGGTATGTATACTCTACTGCATTAGGTTGGTATGTATACTTTACTGCCTTAGGTTGGTATGTATACTTTACTGACTTAGGTTGGTATGTATACTTTACTGACTTAGGTTGGTATGTATACTTTACTGACTTATGTTGGTATGTATACTTTACTGCCTTAGGTTGGTATGTATACTTTACTGCACTAGGCTGGTATGTATACTCCACTGTACTAGATGTGTATGTATACTCTACTGCACTAGGACTGAAATAGCTCACAATTAATTTGTTAACTCTTTCTTTACCAAACAATGTTCTAAACACAACTAGGAATTACTAACATTTTATTATGTTTTAACATGTATGTTTAGTGAAGGACTCTCAAGAACTGACAATAAATTTGTTTCCTGCAAGGATTGAATATTTGGCCCCTCTGAAAGTAGCATACCCATGAGTTAAGTACTGTCATATTTAAACTTTTTTGGACATTAGCTAGGACCGTGAGGGACTGCAAGAGTTAAAACAAACTCTGCGGAACTGAACTTACGTGGTGTTCTTGTAGGGCTGGGTGTAGCTGGAACAGTTGGTTGAACAGCTGGAGTTTGAATAGCTTCTTCAGCTATGGATTTAGAAAATGGAGAAATAAATATTAATTTTAGTACAAAGCCACATGCAAATTCACAGTAAAATCATGAATGTTGTATTTCATGGTGATGGTAACTGTTGATGCCTTACTTTCTATCCCTCAGTGGAGCATAGGCTCTGAAATAACGTATTCCAGTTCATCCCATATTTTGCAAGATGCAGCTCAACCTATGCTCTTCACATCTTTTTCATCCCATTGTATGTTACCAGGGATGATATGAGAAGCAGAGACTACTACTGTAACATTTATGCATGTCATAAAAGGCAGCTAGAGAGAGTTGGCTGGGACTAACTGCCCAATCCCATACAAAACTCTCGCTGCAAAATTCAGCTAAGTCTGAACAAATGAAATAAATGTAACTCAATCAAGCAAGATGAAAGATAATGTAGTACTGACCTCTGTCCATATTATACTTGTAGATGCCAGGAATTTCCCCGAGCTCTGACTCACTGTTGACAAGAACTCTATGGTCCTCCAGTGGTTGGGAACTGATCTGATCCAGTTCTCTGCTGTCTCTAAAACCCATACCTATTGTGTAGACACCAACTCCAGCATCTTTGAGTCGTCTGGCTGCAGCAACACTCTGTTGACTGTTGGCACTTTGTGCATTGCCTGGAGAAATAAATATACAACAAATACAAATCAATTAGAAAGTGCTTTTTGTTGTTGTTGTAAAGTGTGCATGTGTTCCAAGAAATGGATGAAGTAATTTAACACTGTAGCTGAGCATTGGTTAGCTGCTGACAACAACAAAAACAACCTAGATATGTTATCATATTTAACCTCTTAAGGTAGCTTTGGTTGTAACTGTAGTCTGGTTTTTCTGTGTGTCATGTTTAATGAGACTGGGTTTTGTGTACTCAACCCTAAGCTTTCTTAGTCACTTCTTTCGACATGCCTGCTAGAATGCGGTGTTACTGTTCTTCCTGTTAAGGCCCCAGTAACACACCGATAGGGTGTACTGTAGCCAACCATTATTGTGAAGACGGCATATCATTCAGTGTTACAAGTTAGCAAATTAAAATAAATTTAGCACCATTAGCATGAGAACCTTTAACAGGCAGCTGATACAGGAGATGAAGCATGTGTAATAATTTCCTGAGTGCAATGATGGTAATTTATTAATCATTCATTTATTCTGTTTTCCCTACTTTCATTCCTCTTTTCATTCATTCATACATTCATTCATTCATACATTCATTTATTCATACAACTGTATCATCTCAGTATTCCAAAGTAAACCACAGACCTGTCAGTAGCACCACATAGTTCCTCGCACGAGGCCTGTCTCCATTGTTGCTGGTGAACATGTTGTCTCTCACATAGTCAAAGGCACCACCAATATCAGGACGGCCGCTGACACGCTGGTTTCTCAGGCTGTCGACAGCACTGATCACTTCATTTTGGAAATTATGTCTTTGGAAGAAATTGTCAAAAAATCAATAATATGTTTTTTTTTTGGTAACTGCATATAATTAATATTATATGTTTAGAACATAACTCTTTGTTTCCTAAGAAACTACCATGGCATATCTGCTTTTTCTTCATGTTTATCAATAAGTGCTAGTCAGGGCTTGGTCATATATGACCGAGCTATCGTATAACAGTAGTCGGTTCTAGCTATTCTCTGTTAACTTGATCAAATATGATTGAGCTCAGTATAACAGTAGTTGGTACTGCCTGTTCTCTATTGCCTTTATCAGATGTGACTGAGCTCGGTATAACAGTAGTCGGTATAACCTGATATCTGTTAACTTGGTCAGATATGTCTGAGCTCCTGAATAACATTAGTTGGTAACAGCTATTCTCTGTTAACTTGGTCAGATGTGACTGAGCTCAGTATAACAGTAGTCGGTACTAGCTTTGTTTCTGGTAACTTGGTCAGATATGACTGAGCTTGGTAAAACAGTAGTCTGTTCTACCTGTTCTCTGTTTAATGCCTAAGCTTGAACTGGATGGCGTACAAAACCTGACATCCAACATTGTGCCAACTGCTTCAGGTAGAAGAGCACATTTGGTAGAATACTAGACTTGTTCCTGTGGTGAAAGAATGCTACCTGGAAACTTAGCGTTGGTTGGTAGATGGTCTAAGAGGGTATCTCTGACAGGCAGACAAAACACTGTTCTTCAGATCAATAGCCTCTGCTGCATGCTTAATTCCAAATGTATTGGTGTTCATTGTCATGTGGAGCTGACAAAGTATTCTGAGACAGGGATCATGCTGTATAGGCAGCACATGGTCTTCACTCTTGACAACACTCTCCTGGCTTTGTGCTGTAGAGAGAAAGCATATTATCCTTGGTCCAAATGGTATAAAGCGGCATCCATGGCTTAGGTGTTGTGAGTCCAACTCGTAATTCCAACGTACCATGATCGAAACCCACTGCTGGCTGCATAGATTTTCATTATGGTATGGGGCGTCGCAGGTTGGCCCAGCCTAAAATGGGTACCAGGATGTATGTCCTGGGAAAGTAAAGATGGCCGGCGCAATGCTAACCACATTACCCACCTAGTGCCGATTGGTCTGTAAAAATGTGGGTGCTCTTCCCAAATGCCCAGCGCGCTTAATGGCATGAAAAGGGATCTTTACTTTTTACTTTACTTAATGGTATTACTATGGGCTGTTTTGTCTATGCCTCCCTGCAGCACAATAGAGATCTATCACATAGACAGACCGAAAGATCTCAACAGTAAATCAGTTTAAGGAAGTGAATTATATTAAGATTAGTGAGAATTATATGGAAAATGCAGAGATGTGGTTTTATAGAAGAATTATATTTTATACAAAATGGATGAGAGTACCATAAACAGACAACAAGTAGTAGGCAATTATGTCATGAAAGAAGTGAGCTCCATTAATAGTGAAACAAAATATTGAGACTAGAATCTAAATAAACACAACACAGAATATAACAAGCTCAACATAGGAAGGTGGAACATGGCACTAGGGCCATCTAAATGCATGGGCTTGTTAGGCCCTTGCCTAGGAGCCTCATAAGCAGAGCAGCCCCATGCTAGTATGTGTATGTGAAGTAACTTGTCATAAATAAAAAATATTTGACATGTAAATTAATTTTTTGTAATGTAAAACCCAGCCAGTTTTGTTGTTGTATGGGCAATAATATTAATATATTTTTAACATTATCTACTATTTGTATTTCATTCCTGTGAGTGGTTGTCATAGGGGCCCTAGCACACTGGTTTTCCCAGGATCCATTGTACTTCTAAGATGACCTTGCATTGTACCTGCATAAAATATAACACTGCAACCACAATGTAGTTATCACCTAATTTTTCTGTCAAAGTCTGTAACATTATCATATTTTATTTATGTTTATTTATGTATATTTATCATGTTTTTTTTTAATAGTCTGTAACTTTTTGTTATCTTTAAATTGAGGAAGATGGTTTTTTTCTACTTTTTTATGGGGTCTCTTGTGAGGTCTGGATCATAGTTATTGAATTCTGGCATTATAAGGAAACAGACAATGATATTTACACTGTTAACCGGAAACAACAGACTGTGCAGTCATGTGTAAAGAAAATTCCAGATTGGGAGCTTAGATCTTTACCTATGTGAACATACATCACAGAATACCAAACAAGTGCTGCAGAAACTCTCTGTGTATGCAGTCGTCTGGCCAGTCAGTTTTCCAGTGGAAATAAAGTCATACAGATAAGATGAAGCATGTGTCATACACAGTCTTCATAAAGGCCTGCAGCCCTTTCATCTGAAAACCACTTGCAGGGAAAATGAAAAGAAGAACAAAGAAGACTTGCAGGTCTTTTAAGGGGTCATAGAAGAGGCAGACGTATCTGATTCATAATTATACTACTAATGTGGTTAGAAAGAGAGGTAAACAAGCAAGTTTTTTTATTCAGGAAAACAAAAATACCAAACAAATGTTTTACCTGTTCAGATGGAAAACAGCTCTGGCTCTAGAATCAAAAGTTAAGGCACCAACTTTCCACCGGCCAGAATCTACATCCAGCTGTAACACAAAGTCTTTCACAAAAGTTTTCATCCAATCAAAGATACGATTATCCACGGAAGAGTCAAGAATAAACACCACATCCGTGCCTGTCTCACTGTATTCTGTTAGATAAGTTAAAAAAAAATATACATTATATATGACAGATAATAAAATGCTAAATACATCAAAAGACAACAATCAAATAGTTTGGACATATGTCAAGACTACCAAATGATGATTATCATCATCATCATCAAGTGCCTTGCCGACTGGCGTGGGCGATCATGCCTCTCCATAATCTGCGATCTCCTGCAGCATGTATCAGTTCGTGTGCTGACACACCTCCATACCATGCAACAAGACTGTCAAGAATCTTCTCTCATTGTCTTCCCCTATCCCTCCTTCCCCAGATCGTTCCAGTGGTCACAACATGTTTCATTTTCCCTCTTCTCATAACATGGCCGAAAAATGATGACTGTCTCCTTCTGATGTCTGTGATAAGTTGTCTTCGGGCTCCCGCCTCTTTCAAAACTCTTGGTTGCTCTTTTTGGCTGTAAGATAGTATACGAACAAGAGTCCTGTGATTTACACATAATGGAAGGAAAACCAGCCGTCGACCATGCAAGGGCTGTACAGATAGAGTATTTGAGGCTGTGAATACCAGCATGTATGTAGCACACACCAAAATTCTCACAAATCGCTCTTAAAAAACCAGATGCCAAAGGTCAGAACAGGGTCTAGTGAACAGAAAAAAAGAAGGACATATATTTTTTTTAAAAGGATCAAAATCAAAACCTAAGAAAATACATATTGAGAAGAGAGTTAGAAACAAAGGTTAAAACGATATGAAGGATATGATGTGCGTTAATAGACAGCAAAGGGTAAAACGGTTTAACATGAGTTAACTAAAGACCAATGCTCCATTGAGAGATAAAGTGCCAAATGAATATAAGAATGAATTTACTTCTTTTTTTTAAAACTCAGTGACAGTTCTGTATGTTTTGTGTAGCTACTGCTTCAGTCCTGTTTATCCCAAGCAATGTTATTAAATATACAATGAGGGAGACTGAGTCTCAAAGACGTGTTTTTAGGGATATGACATTGTTTCTTTTACTTTGATCACTAAAAAAGTTCTACAAACAGGTGTTACCGTGCTTTAATTAGTGACATAATTGTTGCAAAACTATTCCTGTTTTCTTGATGAGGAGAGCTATCAGCCTGCAACAGGACACCTTATGGGCAGGTATAGAGTACTTGCTCAACTGCCCCCCCCCCCCCTTCTCCATGACCCTCCCCAGTCTCGGTTACATGCTCTCAGGCATGTCATGGATACAGTTGTTGGAAAGCAGCTTAAATGTTTTCAGAACTTGTCAGTCACTTTAATGATGCGAGGCCAAGGATGCTACAATAGACATAATGGCTAGAGATCGCTGCCAGGGAAGGACACTGCTCCCACAGATAAATTTTCTCAACTCTTTCAGTACCAGCCAGCTCACCATAAGTTTCTTGGCCTTTCAAAGATACTCTAAGGTTCTCACTGTCCTCTATTACAGATATGTGTTACATTGACCCTTAGTAAGTGATCTATTAGTTTAACTACTTCTGCCCTATGGGAGTTACCATGGTGTTGTCGTCTAGACGCTCGTCTGTGGATCGGAAGGTCAAGGGTTCCCGTCCTAAAGGATGGACTTTTTTCAAAAATGACCTTGACTTTCAGGTCAACCCAACCTTGAGTGGGCACCAGGTGCAGTCCTGGGAAGTAAAGGTGGCTGACGTGATGTTGACCACATCGCCCACTAAGTCCCGATTGGTCTATAAAAATATAGGTATAGCCCTATATTCCCAACACGCCTAAAGGCAGGGAAAAGGGTCATTTACTTTACCCTACAGTATCTGTGTTTAATTTCTTCAGATCTAAGCATTCAGTGTTTGTCAGTTCAAAACATTGGAATAGAAGGGTTTAACCTAACAAACGTATGGGATCAAAACAGTTAACTTAACTTGACAGCAAAAATGTAAGCTATGGAACATTCTCTCTCCCCCCCCCCCCCCCCCAACAACAACAAACAAAACATACACACCCAGAAAGGGAAGAAATCATTGATTTAACAAATGTTTAATAGTTAGCTTGTTCTGTTGTCTACTGTTTTATTGACATTCTGTAGCCTTGCTGCAACTGATCTGGAACCAATAATCATGTGTTTGTTTATGTGTTTTAATTTTACAGGCGGCAGCATGTTTATGAATGATGCAAATACCTATAATCATGGTCAATGGTTTTGAAAACATATATTGTCAGGAAATACTTACTTGGCACTTTGCTTTCAGTAACTTCTATGTCAGGAACTTGTGAAACCGCTGTTAATTAGAAAATAAAAATCAGTTAAAACAAGCTAAATTAACTCAGTCAATTAAAAAAAAAAAGAAATAAAGTGCTGGCCAATGTCAATATCTAAAAATGTGTCTTTTGAATTAGAGGAACCAATTTTATGTTTGATTTTGTTGTGGTAAAGGGACACTTTTGCTGCTCACAGGTAACACTGGAAGTGATCAGTCTCCTCTCTTAAATCGAATGAAGCATCTCAGTACAGTCCAAGATTTTACAGATGTTCTCACTTTTCTTTGCAAGTTTATGATTTTTAATTTAAATTTGTAATAAATTTGTTCATAAAATAATTTTTGTGTTCATTATCCTTGATCTTGTTCTCTCTCAACCTGGCATCAATATTTGTACAGTGTAAATTTTCAAAAAGTCACTTGTTGAGTCATTGACAACAATTTTTTTTTGGGGGGGAAAAACTACTTATTCTGTAACCATCCCCTTCCGAAGTCCATGCTGTGTGCTGTTGGTTAACATGTATGTTCCCAGATTTCTGACTGATTTACTGTACATCATATGTAAAACATATTTTTCCTTGCAACAATACAGTAGTCATTTTCATAAAAATATATTATTCTAACCCTTATGGTTTTTATTGGGATATAAAGTGCTCACTCAGTTTTTAGAGCATATATTGACTATTTTATATATTTTATAATCGCTTCATTCAGACAAATGTGCCATTTGTGTCATTATTATTTGAAACATTGTCCTGTCGACACCTTCCAGGGTGTAATTATACAGATATGGTACAAAAAGTAGATAATCTTATTTCTGGAGGTTGTTATAGGTCCCCAGATGATAAGGACTTGCATCTACAATGTCCTTATTAACAAGATATAAATTTCCTGGATATTTAACTCATAATAGGGATGTGTCTAGGATATGATCCTATGTCAGGTAGCACAGAAACTCAAGGAGCACAGACACATGTATCACAATAGTACAGAGTGCCCTATATTACAACAGAAAACAGCAGTTGTGTGTAACTGAAGTCATCCAATTTATTACACAAGACACACAATGGGATCAGACATCTACCAGGGCTAGTGAATGATGTCTTTCTGTCACTTTTCACTGGCTGCTGAAGATGGGGACGGAGCGCTCATGGGAATGCCCCGAGTGCTGTGATGTCGATTCTTGAATCAACTCAACTCAACACACTTTCTATTAACTATTTAACAACAGGGCTATATATATACTGTCTTCAGCTCTGAAGATGGTATCCAACTCATTACCAGCACTAAGGCAAAATACTCTACTTCTCTGAAGACTGGATCCATTGAATACCACACAACTACAATCTATGTGCATACGATGCACAAAGCAGTGCATGGCTTCACTAGTGTGGGCAAAGTGAAACATGTCCACTCTCATCTATGGGCTACCAGCAACTGTCCACAAAGCAAAACACGTCAACTCTCATTAGTGGACTGCAAAGAACACTCTGCACAAGTGAATAACCACCTACTTTCCAAACAGACTCATGCATATCTTGCAATATGTGATTTCCCAAAATTTGTTGGTGTCATTTTTCTGCAGCTGAGATTTGAACTTTGACCCCTCTTTGATACCTCTTTGTTCCTTTTTCCATTCATACATCATCAGCATACATCTTCGAGTAACTCCCAAAACATTAATAGTATGTCATTACAATAGTGGATTTGATATGTCCTTTGATCTTCTTAAATTTTTTTAAACCTTTCGAATAATTATCTTCAAAGATTATGATGTCCAATTGTCCCACATCCTTGCTTTTCTTTTTCATGTGTCTTTTTCCCCATCTAAATTCCTTGTTGTCACAACACATTTCAGTTCTACTGATTGTTTCCTTGTGTTGATATGGCCAAAGAATATTAACTCTTTGAGTCCCAATGAACGCATCATACGTTCATAGGTTCCTACCTAGAAGCCCAATGAACGCAAGATGCGCCGATTTTATGACTGTCTTTACTACCCCCTGGGCCTGTGATGCTAAACCCCCTGGGACTCAAAGAGTTAATGTCCCTTTCAATACAGGTAAAAAAGTCGAGAAGAGACCGAGTCAGGAATAAACAACTAAGAATAATAGTATTCAGTGAATAGTACCAGAGAAAGAATCAAATGATTTGGTCATGTAGTCAAAATGGAACAAAATCAGCCAGCAGCTAGAGCATACAACAAAAGAACAGCAGGCTACCAAGCAACAAGCCAAAAAAGAAAGAGATGGATGGAAGGAGTAAAACAGACACTACAGAAATACATTATGACATTAACACAAGCTATGCAACTGGCAAAAGACAGGAAACTACATCTAACTCCTCTCTGTTATGCTTTGCAGTAGGACAAAAGAAGAAGAAAGAATTATCAGTTTTTCTGAGTTAATTTATATCAAGACATCTTCCTAAATATTTATTTATTTATGTTTTAAAATTTGTCCATAGTATTTTTATCACCAGCAGAAATAATACACATTATTAAAGCAATGTATAAAGGCTCAGAGTGTTCAGTGCAAATGGAGAATCATCAAATAGGGACTAAAATAAGAAATAGATGGACTAATGAAGCAAGGACATCCAAGAAAACCCAAAAAAATGTTAGGGCTAATTTCTTTGTACATCTTCTCTTGTTGATATGCCTAATAAATTCCATTTGACTTATCTTTGGAGTGGTAATGAGTGACTTAGTAATACAGTACAACAAACTATAAAAGAATAATCAGTAAAGAGTCTGGGGGGAAAAAATGAACTTACTTGGTGGTGGCATTGTAAATCGCTCTGTAAAGATACAACAGTAGATTATAGATATGTTTATGAATCTCAATGACAATTACAGAAAAACTGACTTGTTTTAAACTCTAAAATTGACATGTTTGAAACAATAAAGTGTTACAATGCACTTTTTAAAATCTTTTGGTAACAAAAGATTTTGCAGCAAATCCCCAAGTGGGACAAAAATTATGAATGCTAGACAGAGACTACACACAGCAGGGTAACCATCTGGGTTGCCAGATTTCTGGAATATGGGATGACCTTATCTAAAATGTAAAAACAGAAACAAAACAAAAATACATTTTTTGTTGGCTGTAACTTATACAGATTATCCAGTCTCATAGTATCAACATTTTGCATTGTCTGGGATTGAAAGAGTTGAACATCACTCACATTTTCAGATCATTGTGATCAATATAATTCTACATAACTGAGCCTCTGAGAATAAGCAGGTTAAGTACATGATGTGGCAATGGTCCTGAAATCTAAGGCTCTAATCATGGAAGATTTTTCTTAACATGAATAGATTGTGCAAGTCACATTTGCCATCGTCAATGGATGTGATTTATATGCCTCCCTACAGCACAAGACAACACTACTGTCTGGAAAGACATCAACAGTAAAAAAGCAAAAAGTAAATTATATTTTTTAAGCCAGTGAGGCATGAGGTAGGCAATCGTAGACTCGTATTTTCATAAACACATTTTTGTCAAAATCCCAGCAGGCTGAAATAGCAGGCAATGTTGTTTGTTTTTAACATTCACCCAGTGTAGATTTGAAGAGCAGCGGCTGGCCAAAAGGTTAGAGGCTCTCAAGAGAAAGACCCATGTTCAAATCCTTGATACAGTTGAGGATTTTTATCTATTAGGATAGAAAATAAAATCCCAACCCGCACAGTTCCTGGCCAGAGCACTATGGCCATGAGGCCATAGATTCTCAGGCTCAAAGACACCACCCACCCCGTTTCCTCCCACCACCCTTCCCATTTGCCTACACCACAACAGTGGTTAAAACTGGCAATTATGGCAATTTTTGTTTTGTTTGTTTAGTAGATTTGAAAGCAAGATCTTCGGACCACAGCAGAGCATCTAGCCACTGTGCCGCAGTGACTCCAACATAGTATGTAGGGATACCCAAATGATGTTAACTGAAATAACAGAACAGAGCTTACTTGGGCAGGCAGAGGCAAAAATAATGTCGTCCACAGCTTGCAGTTCATCAAAGTCACTGACTTTAAAACTGTTCTGCTCCGCAGGTGGTGAAGCAATGCCATCCAGCTCACGGTAGTCAGTTAAACCCACCCCAATGCTGTAGATATGAATGCCATCTTCATGTGCTAGCTGAGCATAAGGAACTGTTTGTTGGGAATTGACATTTGAGACTCCATCTGTAATTTCAGAAAAAATATATGTATGTTTTATAGAAACATTTATTATCATCAGTATGTGGTCTGCTAAATGCTTGGAAATTTAGGTCTTTGCATATATCTTGGTTTTTATTGTTCAGATCCTTACTTTAGGCCACTCTCTGAGACCATCCAGCATAATTTATATGTCTGCCTCTCTTAATTCTATCACTAATCTGTCCAAGTATTTCAAAAAATTGCGATGTTTTATATTCTTACGATGCCAAAAAATATTACCATGAATTTAGACATACTCAGGCCTGTGCACAGAAAGGCCCGAAAACCAACAGCACAGCTCTGTGGTGCTAACGGACTGAAAGAGGCCTACTTATATAAAGTATAATAAAGGACCCATTTCCATGCCTTCAAGTGTGCCCTGCTTATAGGGCTAGACCTATATTTTATAGACCAATCGGCACTTGGTGGGTAATGTGGTCTGCGTCATGCCTGATGACTTTACTTCAAAGAACTGCACCTGGTACCCAGTCAAGGCTGGGTCAACCTGGGAGCCAAAGAAATATTTTTTTTTTAAAGTCCAGCTCAGTCAGGATACGAACCCATGACCCTTTGATCTGCTGGTGAGCGTCTGTTTACAGATTCTGCAACTACTTATATGTAAAATATGACATCAGCATTTCAGCCATTCTCTCTCACACTCTCTTTCTCTCTCTCTCACACACACACAGACACACTCACACACACATACACATACTCACTCTATCTATATTTATTAAGGTTAAAAACAATGAAAATACAATAAATATTATACATATTTTGTTAACCAAGCTCTGAGGGGTAAACATGACATTATTTATATGAAAACTACAGTTACTATTTTTGCCAACACATTACATCTTTCTCTGCATCAGAGCTTTCCAAAATGTGTCACAAAACATTAGTATATGGGTTACACAGTGTGAAGTTGTGTCAAATGAGGGCTAAAGCAGTAAACAATTTATGTATGTTTTCACATCGTATATAAGGGGTTAGTTTAACATCTGGGATGCTAATATATTGAATTTATTGTATCATTTAAAAAGGATATGCCCAACATGAAACTTTTGAAAAGCTCTGCTCTACACTCAGTCTAATAGGATGATGACTTGGTGCAGGGCTTTTCAACTGGCAGCTTATGGGCCAAATCTGGCTAGCAAAGGCATAACAAGTGGCCTGTGGATCACTGCCAGTTGTATTATATTAGTGATCATTTTATGCTGGGGCAGGGGCTTGTGCATCTGTCCATAACGATGCCCCTTTTTTAACTTGTTGACTCCTGAGTAAACTAAGCTGAGTATCCCTGACTGAGTGGCAGCTGCCTTGATGTTTCTATGCTGTCGGAGTAGGGAAAAAAACGAGTTCTAAACTACCTGTCAATACGACTGCTACGTTAGGCACATCAGGCCTGTCTCCATTGGCTGAAGTAAACATGACAGTTCTCATGACGTCCAGAGCTCCAGCAGTGTTGGTGCTACCAAATCTGTAGGGAATCTGGGCTACAGCTTTGAGAATCTCTTGGGATGTGGAGAATGTATTCAGCTGGAAGACTTGGTAGACGTTGGTGCTGTACTGTATAATCCCCACCCTGACATTTCCTGAATCTATGTCAGCTTTTTTCAGGAATTCTTGGAGGAACAACAGCACCTGCAATGAAATACATATGGTAGATATTCTTTAATTCATTCACTCTCCTGTTGTGTCATTAAATGTCATACAGGGCTCGCCAGTCTATTTCTATATTCCACTTTCATCCTGTGCAGTCACTTTGATAAAATGATAGGAATCCTCTCCAGTAAATCTGGTTATCTCATCAATATCCATCTTAGGGTTGCTCTTGGACGTTCTTGTTGTTTCCCATTTCAGAGCCCTTTTCATGTTTCTCTTCTCTTCTATTCTAGTGATTAGTTTTTAGTTTTGAGCCCAACAGTGTGCATGTCTAGTCACTGACTTCCACAGAGTGGCTTTCATCCGTGGCTATCATTCAAGCACTTTGTGCACCACACAACACATGATGCATTTGTTACCGGAATCCTTTCCTGCAAGTTTCTGTCTTGTCTTGTCTTGTCCACAATTGCCTCACAGCGTAGTGGGGAGTCGCAGTTTTCTATCCTGGGCCAGGTGTGTTGCACGTGTTGTTGTTAGTCCGTGTTGCTTCAGGATCTCTGATATATTGTCTATCCATCGTACTCTCGGTCTGCCTCTTGCTCTAGGGCAGTAGTGCTGTTCGTTGTATGCTCGTAGAGGCAGTTGGTCGGTTTGCATTCGCATCAAGTGGCCAAACCACTCTATTTGTTGCTTCTTTATGTATTGCAGGCATGGTGTGGTTCCTACAATTGCTCTAATGTTCTCGTTTCGAACTCTGTCTCTCCTTGTGACATTGGCAGCCTTACATAAGCATCTCATTTCGCACGTCGTGATCTTTTTTTTGGCATTGGTAGCAGAGGGTTGGTATAAACATGCAATTTATCAGTTGTCGTTTTAGTGCCATAGTGATGCTTGGGTGTTTTAGCAGTGGGGAGAGTTGGTAAGTTACTGCGCTCGCCTTTTGACATCTTGCCTCAAGTTCCCTATCAATTCTTCCATCCTGCAAGTTTCTGTAGCAAATAATATTTTTTTTTTCATATGGTGGGGGAGCTGGCCTCACATCCAACCCACTTTTTTTTTTTTTTTTATATCCGGGCTTGGGACTAAGGCAATTAATTATATAATAATAAACCACACACATTCATAAACTGGTGTCTGCAAAGAACAGAGGGAATGAATGGTATGATATAAACACAAATTTAGAGATTTGGGAGAGAAATTTAAAAAAAAATAAGAAGTGATCCAAGAGGTGAGGAAAAGTGCTGGTGCTGGATAGGGAATACACTGAGGAAAGCTATCAACAATATAACTAGAATGTCTTTGCACTGGAAACCACAGAGTAAAAGAATAAAGCAGACAAAAACAAATGGAGACAGAAAAATTAAAAATTCAAGTTAAAAAGATAGGGAGGACATGGTGTGAACTGCAAAGCAAAGGATGGGAAAACCTGGTGTGAACTGCACAGCAAAGGATAGGAAAACCCGGTGTGAACTGCACAGGAAAAGATGGAAAAACCTAATGTGAACTGCACAGCAATGGATGGAAAAACCCGATGTGAACTGCAAGCAAAGGATGGGAAAACCCAGTGTGAAGTGCACAGCAATGGATGGGAAAACCCGGTGTAAACTGCACAGCAAAGGGTGGGAAAACCTGGTGTGAACTGCACAGCAAAGGATGGGAACAACTGGTGTGAACTGCACAGCAAAGGATGGGAACAACTGGTGTGAACTGCACAGCAAAGGATGGGAACAACTGGTGTGAACTGGCTGAAGACCTATGCTTCCTGGGGGGGGGGGGGGGGAGGGAGCAGCAGTAGAAGAAGAAGAAAGGTTTGCTGACAGAAGCCCATGGCAAATGAGTTAGAAAGCCTGATCTGATTCTATTCTTTAGAAAAACAATGATGATCATCCAAAAACTTCAGAGCAGTTGACCCAGAAAACTGAGATAATGAGTAAATTAATTTGAACTAATGATGAAATGAAACTCTGCAGGTCCAGGAAACTATAGAGAAACAATTATGAATTCTTAATTTTAACCCTGCACACATTTCATTGGTAATTTAACTTTTGAATATTAACTGCAGATTGTATAATTTTGCTGTAAATTCTTTCAAGTAAGTAAAACAAAACTTAAGCACTTTTTTTTACACCAATGGCTCATCAGGTTGTGAATCTAGCTTAAGACTTTCATAGACCAACTGGCAATACATGGATGATGTGGTCAACATCACACTGGCTGCCTTTGCTTCCCAGTACCCAGTTTATCCTGAGTTAACCTGGAAATTGAGGCTTAAAAAAAACTAATGTAATGCACATTTAAACTAAAGATCTTAAGGCTGGCAGGGAAGCATCTAGTATTTTTGGTACTCCAACTCACCACTACCCGAAACAAAAAAAAAAAAATGAAAACATATTTTCCAAAACTAAATGAAACATGTACATAGCTCTTCTGAGGCCAATGTTAATAGAAGTAAAAAAAATAATTATGTTGACTTTTTAAGGAACAACCACACATTATTATTTGTTATCTGTACCGCCAACGTAGCATATCGGTCTGAACCATTTATGCTCTTTCCTCATATGCAGCCACTATCTCAATGTCTCCGTGCTCAATGTACCCAGCTGGGGTTGACTGGGATACCTTCTTACTTTACATTGCAACTGGTTTTTCTATGTTTATCCTCATTTAATACCCACTGCCATAGGTGGGTCACATCTCTGAATTGCAGTTTATTCAGTGTGTCTGCCTGTCTGTACTTCTGCTTTTAACCACTACTAACACCACCAGTCACTTGGCTCATTCATTCATTTTCACCCTGGCATATACTGGGGAGTACAGCCAATATCGTAAGAGGCGACTAAGGGTAGGGTTGGGTTTGAGGTTGGCTACCTCATCCTGTAAAAACCATAGCCACAAAAACCAGACAACCATAGAGTCAAAAAGAGAACTAAACTAAAAAATTGTAATTCTAATGTCAAATCAGTACTTTAGTATGGGGCGGAAACATGGAGAACAACTAAGGCAATTACTAATAAACTACAAACATTCATTAACTGGTGCCTGCGCAGAATAGAAGGAATTAAATGGTATGATATGGACACACACTGAGAAAACAGGAGAACAGCATAACTAGAATGTCTTTGCATTGGAACCCACAGGGGCATAGGAATAAAGAAAGGCCAAAAAACACATGGAGAAGAGAGCAGAAAGATGGGGAGGGACATGGGGAGAGCTCCATGCAATGGCTTTGGCGTAAGTTGGTTGAACTAGTGGGGGATAGAAAGGCAAAAGAAGAAGACAGCCAATAAAGTTTCTTGAGGTGACTTCTGATATTGTCAACCCATTTTAGTAAGAGTTTGCCAGTTTGATCTTTCTAAGAACAGACACACATGAAGTTAGTCATGTTTACCTTTTTAAAGTTGACCTCCGTCACACTGGTTGATGAGTCAATAACAATAATCAGATCAGCTCTGCTCAAAGCACAATCTGTAACCAACAAATAATCACTATAATACACTGCTATCAAGAATGATTGCTGGAAATTTAAACTGTTATTATGAAAGAAGATATTATAACAGAAAAAAAAAGTATTCAGTCCCCTGCACCGTTTCAATTGCTGCAGAAAGCTTGTTTTTAAGGTGCTGATTGTTCCTTATCTTCTCAGTGTCATTTTAATCCTCAGAATCTCACAGGGTCACTCAGAACTTGAAACTTTTCCCAAACATTTTAAGATGCCACACATGTATATCCATTAAAATATGTATTTATAATAGTTTGAAATTCCGGCAATTATTCTCAGTGACCCCATACATATTTTCAAACACAGAGAAAAATAAAAATGTTTATTTGAACAAAGAAGACGCAAAAAATAGATTGCATAATTTATTGCCTGGCATGTTTTGCTGTATCTCGTCAGGTGTATACTACAGTAACAATTACATAAATGAAGCAAATAAGTGAATCCTTTATAACTGAAGTACAATTTCAACAACGATCACATATGACTGCCTGTTTTTACCAGGGGAGCCAAAAAGACAGAACCATCTCTTTCTGAATACGGGGTTCTGGGCGCAGGTGACGAATCACGGAAGCCTGCAGCAGTTGATTCATGACAATTAACGCCCAGGTGATCTGATTATCTATACAGATGGTTCGGTGGTGAGAGCAAAGAGAACTGCCTGGGGGGTTCGTAGTGAAAGCCAATGGAAAATCTTTAGTGCAAGACAGTCTAACATATGACATCACAACATCTAGCATGAGAATGGAGGTGGAGGGGGTAACTGCAGCTCTCCAGTGGCTAGAGAACAAGATGCATACACATGTTGTAATTGTAACAGACACTGAAAGCATGCTGAGAAAAGTGAAGACAGGGATGCTTCGAGCAGAGTGGCTAGCTTCACCTGAAAGGTCACCGGTGGTGAGCATACTTTGGATCTTTCTCCAGGCCATGCCGGCATGGTGGGTAATGAACAGGCAGACAGATTGGCTTGATCTGCACCAATGGGAGATAAACTGATACATGACAAGGCAGATGTGGTCAAGGCCCTTTGGAAACAAGCAACAGAATCAGTAGAGAAAGAAGAATTTTATGGCCTGGAGAGAATTAGGTACCTGGGTGTAACCAGAGGGTCGGGCTGGCTCACTACGCTCAGAAGAAAGGCAAGACCGAAATTTAACGAGATTGTGAACAGTACCATCAGTACTGGAACTCTGTGCCGGCTGCTGAAGATGAGGATGGAGCATGCAAGGGAATGCCCCGAGTGCTGTATGTCAATTCTTGACTCAAATCTTAAAATGGGAGTTTTGGAGTGGTTTGTACATTTTATGTGGTAGACTCAAAATGATTTTCAGAGTCAAGCTCAATATGAAATATCTTCTCTAGGAGCAATTCATATAACATTGGATGAGTTTGAGAGGTCTCAGTGAGTGGACGTTTCACAATTGTGAATATTTTTGTGAAGGGAGTCTTTTTTATGCTTTAATCATGCAGGGATTTAAAAGAACAAACATTCAGAGATTTTAAAAATAACATAAAAAACTTCCATAAAGTTTATTATATAAGCACTGCCTAGATTCTCAACCTGCACTTAGTAAACATTGTAAATTACTGATGTGTTTTAAAGTTATGTTGTAAATTACTGATGTGTTTTAAAGTTATGTTGTAAATTACTGATGTGTTATAAAGTTATGTTGTAAATTACTGATGTGTTATAAAGTTATGTTGTAGATTACTGATGTGTTATAAAGTTATGTTGTAAATTACTGATGTGTTTGTTATAAAGTTATGTTGTAAATTACTGATGTGTTATAAAGTTATGTTGTAAATTACTGATGTGTTATAAAGTTATGTTGTAAATTACTGATGTGTTATAAAGTTATGTTGTAGATTACTGATGTGTTATAAAGTTATGTTGCGGTGATATTTAGAAAGTAGTGAGTAGATCACGTACCTGATTTGGGTGGTGGGGCTGTGATTCTAATTCCTGGTTCTGGTACCTCTGTGGAATCAGACTGTTACAATTAGCAACACAAGAGAAGGATAGACAACAGTCATCAGTATGTTCTTAGCTTCTAATAAACTTGTAAACTTCACAGTTCCTATAGAAAGAAAGAGACCCATATCTCACTGGGCACTCGGTGCAGATTCCTATTATATATAGATCACTTGGTACTCACCAGATGACACGGCACTGACCATACTTACTAGGTTGACCTGGCAGTCCAGGTCACTGAATTTTTTTTGTTGCCCTAGTGAGGCTGGCCAAACGGTTAGAACGCAAGGCTCTCAGGCGGGAGACTTGGGTTCGATTTCTCTGTAAAGTTAGGGATTTTTCTGTTGAGGGCAAAAATTAAATGTTCATCTGTACAGTTCGTGGCAACAGCACTGGCCATGTGGACTTAAATCCTAAGCCTCAAAGACCCCCTTGCCTACACCACAAAAGTGGTAAAATACAGGCAGTAATGGGAGCAGCTGGCTGAACAGTTAGAATGCTGGGCTCTAAAGCAGGAGACCTGGGTTCAAATCCTTGGTAAGGCTGAGGATTTTTCTTTCAGGGAAAAAAAAAATCCTCCCCTGCACAGTCCTGGCGACAGCACTATCCATGCGGACATAAATTCTCAGGCTCAAAGACCTCCCCTGCCTACTCCGCAAAAGTGGTACAATAAAGTCAGTAATTGGCATTCATGTTTGACAGTTTTTAATTGGCAGGTTTTTTTGGCATTTGGAATTCAACCAAGGATAAATGGATCCCATGTCAAACATGGTAGCCATTAACTTTTTGTAACTCCTTCACTGGTATTTATGATATGATATTTAAATGTAATGTTATCTTAGATATAATGATTAAGACCTTTCCGTCGTTCCAGATGATAGTGTTATACTGCGCTTTGAGGAGGCTTGGGACTCACAGCCCATGGCAATGGTGAGTGTGACTAGCAAGACCCACCCACGTTAGGAAAAATAGAAAATCTTCACTTTTCACCCCATTTCACTGTCTGCTTTTAACATGTGACAGTGAACCCTGGCAAATAGGCATAAAAACCACTTTGTTATGCTACAGTTTTATTTAGAGGATATTTTTTAAAATCTGTACAGTCTAAAGGAGAATTCTAAATGAAATAAGTGATGACACAAAGATTATTTTTGTATGTTTTTGTGTATGTTGAATGTTGAATAAAGAATCAACATCACAGCATTCAGGGCACTCTAATAAGTGCTCAGTCCCCATCTTCAGCAGCAAGCAGAGAGTTCCAAGTCTGATTATTTTTGTGTGAAGTTGTGTACCAATGTGTGTTTCAAAAGTGTGCTGGTGGTGTGAAGTGTGCTGGTGGTGTGAAGTGTGCTGGTGGTGTGAAGTGTGCTGGTGGTGTGAAGTGCAGTATGTGTGAGCAGTAGAGTACATCTGTTAAATGAAAATTATATATTATTATTTCAACAAATATTAAAATAGCACATTTCTTTGGCAAATATTTAACAAATAATGATCAACTCTTACCCTGACAAAGAGAAGCAAAGATATTATGTTTTAGATCATTCAGTTCTGTAAAATCATTGACAGTAAATTTGTTCCTCTCCAATGGCTTGCTGGCAATACCATCAATCTCAGTGGTGTCTGTCAGTCCAATACCTATAGCGTAAATGTGAATACCAGCTTCTCGAGCTAGGTCTGCCTCAGGAATAGTGTTCTTTGTATTGATGTTTGAGATTCCGTCTGTGATGACTATGGCAACATTGTCAACCTCACTCCGATCTCCTTTATCTGGAGTGAACATCTTTGTTCTCATCGCTTCCAGGGCAGCTGCTGTGTTAGTGTTGCCAAATCGATAAGGGATATCATCGATGGCATTGAAGAGGTGAACTTTGGTCACGTGCTGGTTGAGATCAAACTGAACATAGGCCTCAGTGCTGTAGATGACAACACCCACACGGACAGTGCCACCATCAATGTCAGCCTCATAAAGGAAGGTTTTCACAAAGTCTTTGATTACGTCAAAGTTGTCTTCTGTCACGCTGGTTGAGGCATCAATGACAAAGACAAGGTCAATTTTGGCACCAGAACAACCTGTCAAAAAGAAATAATTGTTATTTCCACTGATAATTCTAGTTACTTACCTATAAAATAAAAAATTTTCTTGTTCTTTTTTTTTTTTTTTCTGCCTTTTACCTCCTAATAGAGTTGAGCTGTACTTGGGACGTTCACATAAGAACACCAACCCCACCTCTAGGAGTCAGCTATGAGTTCTGATGCTAACATTTAGCAGTTAGATTATTTGTCCATCTTGCTTATTACTACTACTGCTACTGCTCCTACTTTTCTTGCTCCTGCTGCTGCTGCAGTTATTACTACTACCACTGCTACTACTACTGCTACTGCTGCTGCTGCTGCTGCTACTGCTGCTGTTACCATTACTACTGCTGCTGCTACTGCTGCTATTGGGTTGTGAATAATAAAATAATATATCTGAAATAAAAAGAAATGCTCAAAAAAAAGAAGATTTTGTATATGAGGGTGGGGGGGGGGTAGGTTTCTTCATGAGCATTAGAAAGGAACTTACTCTGACCCCCCCCCCCCCCCCACCACTCCCCCTTTATGGTAATTACAGAAGAGGGTCCACCCCTTTCGTGAAATTTTTTTAGGAGCTCAGCCATGAAATGGAGCACTAAAATGCACACAGGGAGGCAAAGTGTAATTTTTCTTTGTCTCAATTGCACTGGATTGATAGTCTCATGCCCAGCTTGCTGAAGAATATACAAAGTCCGACAATTAAGTAATGAGACTGATTTTATTATGGCCAAAACAAAAGTGCAACGAATAAAGCAAAGCATGGAATCTAAACAGACAACATTCATCTATGATCTGGCAACTTTTCATCACTGCTCGATAAGCAGACAATAAACTAACTGCCATTTTGTTGACCTAGTTAGAGATGCATTGTTACATAATCAGCATGGAGCAAAAAGCTAACATTAAATTCTTGGTAAAACCCCCCAAAAAAGTGCCACTGAAACAGTTCAATTGATTCAAAAAGTTTATGGGGATAATTTTCTCATGCACAAATTTTCAGGTGGTATTCAGGATTCAAAAGTGGTGTAGAAATGATTAGTAATGCACCTAGACATGGATGCCGAATTTCTGTTCATAAGGACGAACTCGTTGCAAAAGTCAGAGAACGGATACAAAAAGATCATTGTTTTACTATTAAGATGATGGCAGATGAATCTGGTGGTAATAGGGACACCATTCATAAAATTTTAGAGCAAGATTTTAGCAAGAAAAAAGTTACTTGCCGGTTTGCACCACATTCATTGTTTGAAGACCAAAAACATCAGCAGGTTGAGTACCCAAGAGACATCATCAAAACAAGAATTTTTGGCCCTAAAACAAGTGTGTGTTCTCAGCCTTCCACCCTATTTCCTAGATTTGTCTCCCTGTGATTATTTTCTATTCCCAAAATTAAAGTTTGGATTGGAAGGACGCTTTTTAATGATTTTGATGACACCTAAATGGCCATACCACAGAGGTCGTTCCAATGTTTGTTAGATCGTGCCACTTGCTGTATTAATGCACAAGGGGGTTACTTTGAATAAAATACAGGTTACATCTTCAACTGTTGAATATTTTAATTTTCATGGAATTAGTCCTATTACCTAATTGTCGGACCTTGTAATTTTAGTTAGTGTAACTTCTAAAAAGTGCTCAGTCGTCACCCCTTCCCTGATAATTTTCAAGGAACTCAGCCCTTAATGAGGCACTAGAATCCACATGGGAAGACCAGATGTGAATTTTGTCCATCACAGCAGCACCTAAATTTATAGTTTAAACCCAGCTTGCTCACAAGCAGAAATTTTGTTATTGTTACTGCTAAATAGTGCAAACATTGTAAATCCCCCCCCCCCCCAGAATGATAGCAACATTTCAAGCATTAGCATGAACATCACGTATCTGTTTCTCTATAAAGATGTGCATATTTATTGTTTTAAAGATGTATATGGATACTCTGTTGGCATCAATGTCAGAAACAGAGGCATCAGTGCAAGAGCTGATTTATGAAAATGCACGCCCATATGACATCATTTTATAATCAGATGGGTATGTATTGATGTGAGAGATGAGAAGGGTAGATGAGGTTTACTCTTCTGTATTTTAGTCCTACTTAGAAATCCACATCAATGTACTTGGGACATGACACCCTCACTGCATCCAGTATGGGAATGGAGGTGGAGTTGGTGACAGCAGCTTTCCAACAGCTTGAAAAAAAAGCACAGCCCAACATGTTGTAATTGTAACAGACTACCAGAGCATGCTACAGACAATTGAAACTGGTTGTCTGCATGCAGAGTGGCTTGCATCAATTGATAAGACTCACATCAGGAGCATATCATAGATTTTCTGTCCAGGACATTTAGGTGTGCAAGGGTGTTGGATTAACTGTTGCCAATCCTCTGGGTGGGGAACTACTTTATGATAAAGTGAACATGGCCAAGGATCTCTGGAATCAAATGTACAGTGCAATGGAATAGACATAATTCATATATTGAAAGACTAATTCAGTGGGGGGGGGGGGGAGTATATGTGTTTTGTGTGTGTGTGAGAGAGAGGAGAGGGGTTACATTTTCTGGAAGCTATTCAACACTGAAGGGCACAATAGGCAGATTTTCAATCATGTTGCAACTATTAACATTAGCAAGTCGACTCTTCGTTGGCTGCTGAAGAAGGGGTTGGAGCATGTGTGGGAATGTTCTGGGTGTGATGATGTCAAATCTTGATTTAATGATTGATTGACTGATTTCATTGATTCATTCATTCAATGTAGGACTACAGCTTAATGTGTTATAATATGTCAAATCTGGTGTTCTTGTAGCATGGTTGCTAAATATAGTTAAAAAAGGATCTTCACTGACTTACTTACTTATGAGTGTTCTGTACCTAATTACTCTTTGAATATCTGTATGGTTATTGTACTGGCATCCATGTAGAAAAATTACAGGTTAATCTGTTACCACTTTCAAATCAAAGTGTACAAGTAAAAGTCATTTCCATACTTACTGGTTTTGACCGTGGCTACTTCAGTGACAACAGAAGGGACCTCTGTAACAACTACAGGGGGCGCTGTTTTTTTAGTTTCTGAAAAGAAAAATTACAGATTGAATTAAAACTATATATATATATATATATATATATATATATATATATATATATATATATATATATATATATATATATATATATATATATATATATATATATATAACACATACACACACATATACATAGAAACAGATCTAAATGGTTCTTAGTTGGCCCCATCTCATGTTTCCAGATAACAGTTTTACATAGTGATGTAAAAAGGTATAGAATAAAATCCCATAGCTGGTGCAAAATGTAATGAGCCAGTTTCTTTTCTCTGAAGCACAAAGACTGAGCAGTATTAAATAGACCATGTGTTACAGCACAAAACCTTTCTCAGCTTGCCTTATTCGCTCAGGGGAAAAAAAAAACATCAGTATGTTTGGAATAAAGCATACTGCAGAAGTTGCCAGATCAGAAGAGCAGTGCTGTGCCTGCCTGCCATACCTTCCAAGTGGCCATCTATGGCGAAAGGCTTTGTCTTCTGTCCTGCACAACATTAAGTTTTAATGGTGTGTTTAATCTTTACAGGATAATGCTTATATCATGTCAAATATGTTCCGTCAACTAAAGCCGTTATTGGAATGTTGGAGGTCAGATTTAGTATACACTACCCAAAATCCATGTTTACACTGGGTGTAAGTCCTAATAGTGTGGCAACCACACACAAAACTCTAGAAAGCTCAACACAGGGAAAGAATAAGACATGGCACACACAGAAATTAACAATCTTCACAGTTTTTTAACAGACTAAACAAGAGACAAAAGACAGAACAACTGATAACAGACAAAACAGCAGACACAACATTAGACAACAATTCACGCCAGTGTAAGTCTTCACTATGAGAAGAAGGCGGAGAGCTGTACTGAGCGCAGTAACTCTAAAACGTTGTACACTTTTTGCAGTGGTTTTGTGAATGTGTTTTCCTGCTTCTGGCAATGGCATCATATGTTACATTGAATGAGGGGGACATCATTGCCAATGCCGTATGTCATTTTTTTCTAGTGGTGAAACTGTTTTCTGTTCAAGTGTGTCAGGGCACTGTGTCATTACACCTATGTGCCCTGTGATGTCTTACAGTTATCAAGTGTATGTTCATGTTCTGCCTTAGTGCAGCGCTACCCTGAGCGCTACCTTAAGAACACCATGATTTACCTTGTTCATCGAATCATGTCGTTAGAAGAGTCACTGATTGAGAGGCAATGAATCAACAGTTTGCAGACAAAAGGACCAGATTTGTTAAAAATTATGTACTTGCAAAACTCAAGTTTTTGAACAAGACTAAAGTCTTTAATTGGACGGAAAAACAGAACTTTCAGCTGGAGTTTGCAGCCAGTGAAATCGAAGAAGAAGAAGAAGAGGAAGAAGAAGAAGAAGAAGAAGAAGAAGAAGAAGAAGAAGAAGAAGAAGAAGAAGAAGAAGAAGAAGAAGAAGAAGAAGAAGAAGAAGAAGAAGAAGAAGAAGAAGAAGAAGAAGAAGAAGAAGAAGAAGAAGAAGAAGAAGAAGAAGAAGAAGAAGAAGAAGAAGACAAAGAAGAAGAAGAAGAACAAGAACAAGAACAAGAACAAGAAGAAGAAGAAGAAGAAGAAGGCGGAAAGACACAGAAAGTACCCAGACATTTATACTTTCCATTACCTGTGTGAATAAACATTGTTTGTCTGTAATCTACAGAATGGCGTTGTATGGTTCTGTTACATTTCGAGGTGCCGTTTTTCTTTTCTGGTAGAATGATTTTACACTGCGATGGCTTTAAGTGGCCTTTGCAGATGTAAGCATGTGTGGTGTGGACATCGAGAGAGTGGACACCATGAAATTACTAGGCATGACATTTGACAGATGCATGTCATACAAAAATGTTAAGACGTAGGGTCAGGAAAGGTCTGACAGCATTCAATGTGCTGGCAGCAGCTGATATTGAGCAATGCATGCTTTTCCTTCTCTATCAAGGGCTTGTGTTAAGCCTCCTCACTGTCAGCAAAACCCAGCTAGAAAGACTGGACAGAATACAAAATGAGGCCATGAGACTCCTACTCGGCTGCACGAAAGACACCTCCTGCAACGCCATGCATTGTTTCCTGGATGCATGGGCATTTACAGCTCACTCTTCAGGCAGAACAGTTAGGGAAGCCAGCGGTGCCTTCTTCATGACCACCAGCATAGCAGCATGACGATGGAGGTGATGGCGGTGACACAGGCTTTCATTTGGCTGGGATCACAGGACTATTCCTGCGTGCGTGTGCTGAGTGATTCTTTGAGTATGATCCGGTGGGTCGAGGCAGGCTGGTTATGCAGACAGCGGCTTGAGTCATTGCAAAATTCTCCTGTGTGCGCAGTTACTTTCATATTCGTCCTAGGGCATGCAGGCATTGTTGGTAATGAGAGAGCTGATAGACTGGCAGGTACTGCATTGATTGAAGATGGCCGGCCCATGGATCACACAGATATTGTCATTGCCCTTAGAGAGATAGGACGTTCTGAGGATTTTGGAAGCAATGTGTCCACATCACTTCTAAGAATATGCGAATTGGGAGTAAAGATCGGCACAGCCAAGCATGAGAAGCACACTGGACGCACACGAAGTCTTGTTAACCAACATAGGACTGGTACTATTAACCGCACTACCATAATGAATATGTTTAGAGAGGAATCTGAGCGCCTATGGATGTGTCTGGAGTGCTGTGAAGATAATCTAACTCATAACTGTGTCCTGGGTTTGCCGACGATGGCTAACAGAAAAAAAGTCGCAAAGGTCAAGGCCTACATGAGGGTATTGGCAGACGTTGCCAACCCACTGTACAAACCTATGCATGACACAAAAGGAATGCATCTCAAAAGAGGTCGCTCCAGGATGGCCAATGCTGAAGATTTAATCCAGCAGGGATGTGACCTAGACGTGATCCGTGGTGGAAAAGAATGGGCAAATACACCAGTAGACAAGTATGGCATCTCTAAGTTTGTCATCACACTCGGAAGCTACTGCCGGGATCAGATTCCTCTTGCTGTAGACACAGAGGTAAGGACACTAATAGTTCAGCATTCAGATCCAGAAGACATCATCATCTACACAGATGGACCCGTGAAGCATGGATTAAGGTCAGCATAGGCATACACAGCACAAAGAATGGGGAAAACAGTACAAGAGGACAGCGGCGCTTATCAGACAAGCATGACCATGGAAATAGCTGCTGCTTCTAGAGCACTGGCATGGGTATCCAAGCAAACCACCACACAGGCAGTAATTGTAGCAGACTCCATGATCATGCTTCAGAGGATAGCAACAGGCGGCAAACACTCTGAATGGGTAGAACGAATTTGAAAATTGCACTTAACCCCACTCACCTGGATCTACACACCTGGTCATGTGGACTTAAGGGTAATGAGCGAGTCAACCAACTAGCAAGCAATTCACCAATGTAGTGAGAAGAGCAGATATCCTCAATGCTATTTGAACTGGGCTAGTGGATAATGAGGAATCCCTGACACTAACACAATTGCATGACATGGGAGTAAAGCATAGTGGAAGAGTCTATGCCGTCTTCGAGGCCGAGATAGGAGACAATATAAAGAACCTCCCATGGGAACAATTAGTAGAAGTACCTTGCTGTGGCTGCTGCATCGGTGGACTCAGCAGGCATGAGAATGCCCAATGTGCAGTGACATCAGTTGGGAAAACAACATTTGCAGCTAAGTAAATCATAAACCCATTGATCTCAAATTAGGGCCTCAGAAATATAATTTTTTAGGCTTTAGTTGTCACCTACAGGATGGGCTTAACTGTGAGGTATCTCACAATACTTATTTCTTTCTTTCTTCTTTCTTTTGTCCATATTCTGCTTTGTGCTGCTAGGTATTGCAGGTTAACAGATAGTATACGAGCTAGGGCACGCTTGGTTACCCGGTATGTTGTGATGTCGTGGAGTCTGAAGGTATCAGTGATTCCTTTATTCAGTCCTTTTCTTAGCTGTCTTCTATCTCTTGGCATTTCTACTTTCGTGTTGTAAACTTTCATTGCTGGCAGAATTTGTTTCATTCCTATTTAATGACCAAACAATTTCACAAAACATATGACATTAATATAATTCTTACCTTCACAAATAGATGCAAAAATATTCTGTTTTAGATTGTTCAATTCTGAAAACTCTGAAACTGTAAATCTGTTCTTCTCCAGCGGCTTGCTGGCAATACCATCCAACTCCCTGGTGTCAGTCAAACCTATTCCTATCGCATAAATGTGGATGCCAACAGCCCGAGCTTGTTCTGCCTCTGGGAGGACTCTCCTTGCATTGATATTGGAGATGCCATCTGTGATCACTATGGCAATGTTGTCAACATCCCGTCGGTCCCCATTCTCAGATGTGAACATTTCTGTTCTCATGACTTTCAGGCCATCTGCCGTGTTCGTGCTGCCGTGTCGATATGGGATGTCATCGATAGCGTTGAACAGGTTCACTTTGGTCTTGTACTGGTTCAGGTGAAACTGAATATGGACGTCTGTGCTGTAAATGAGAAGGCCAACTCGGACAGTCCCTCCATCTATTTCAGCTTCGTACAAGAAGACTTTGATAAAGTCCTTTATTAAGTCAAAGTTCTCCGCTGTCACACTGGTTGAAGCATCCAAGACAAAGACAAGGTCAATCCTGGCACCAGTACAACCTGTCAAAACAAAAGAAACAATGATCTTACAGAAAAGTATTGCTTGCCAGCTCAGATGTCTTCGGCTGGAAAACACATCTAGGATGATTTCATATCTGGGGATTCTTTTTCTTAGTGCTCAGGGACTGCAGACTCCAGGGAAAAATCCTGGCTGTTTGTCCACTTCTGGACTTTAGCCTTGTTCAAAGATTTGGGTGTTGCATGCACATCCATTGTACAGATCAGGCTTAGTTGTGCGCAGAATGTGTGATTTCTCTTCTATCAGCTAAATACACTCTGAATGAATTGTCAATCCTAACTATGCTGGCCAGGTTGCCAGTTTGGCAAGGGCTGGTCTTGACCAGTATGAGCCCTGGCATGAGCCAGAGGCATCCTTACGTTGGGATTCAAACCAATGATTGCCAGGTTGGCAGGCAACAATATTCTTCTTCTCTCTTCAGCCTTACAAGGGGGTGGTTTGCATGTATCCTTGTGGCTTACAGCTAGGTTGTAATATTTGCACCTTTCAGCCCAACACATTCAGTTTAATCAATGTCCTAAATAATCACATTTTTAGGACAAGAGTGTTAGGGGGCAGTTGGTCTACCCCCCTCCCTCTTCCCCAACCACCTAAATGGGGCCCCAGAACCAGCATGGGGTTTACGCGACAATATTTTATACTTCTATTAAGTGATTGCAAGTTTTAATTCAGTGTGTCACAATCCTCAAAACTCCAGGGGTACATTTTCAAGACAAATAATTTTTTTTTTAAACCCTTCACACTGTATTCACACAGTGGTACAAGAATCATACCGTGGGATAGATTGGAGCTTCACAGCACTATGTTCCTAAAGACAGCAGTGGATATGCTGTGTTCAACCAACATTGTGGAGATGGGGGGGGAGGGGGTACTTGCATGTGTGTGCGCGAACACATATACACACACATACCCCCACACAAAACAATTTCAATACTCACTGGTTCCAACTTCAGCTTTCTCTGTGGCAATAACAGCAGGTGGCTGTGTGACTTTGGTTTCTGGGGATAGGATTAAAAGAACACATTGAGAAGCCACAAAATATAAGATGCTTCCCAAAAAATTTAAAACTAATTACAATTGTTATGTGCATTATTGGGAAACAATTGAATATAACAGATGAAAGATGTATTTAAAAAGAGTAGAATAGATCAAGCAAAATCTACATTCAAAATGAAGAATATTTTATGACAAAATCTACCTTTGTCAACTGAGGCAAGCAAATAAAAGTTCTTAAGAGTCAATTCTGAGTCAATTCTGAGTCAATTCTGAGTCAATTCTGAGTCAATTCTGATTCAGTCTCTCTCATCAGTTTGTGTGGGTTCACTGTTTATTTGATGTGACTGCTTTAAAAAACCTAGTCTGTGCTATGGAGAAAAAATGATCAACATCAGCATCAAGTGTCTTGCTGTCTAGCATGGGCGATCATGCCTCTCCCCAACTTGTTAGCTCTATCATCATGAAACAGTTTATTTGTTAACACCCTTCCAGATTGTCATAAGTAGATGCAAGGGGCCTTGTTAACACAGTCAATAGGAGACTCACTTTCCAATCCAGCTAGGACTCGCTGCAGCCCACGGCCAGTGTTTAAAACTGAATGGTTTCCGGGGTTCACCCAGCCTCTAGGTAATGGGTACCAGAGTTAACACTATGGGGTAAATGGAAGAACGTCGCTATAGCCATGGACGGTTACACAGGTGGACAGTTTCTTATCAGCTGTCTGTACTGGTGGCAGAGCACTTATGGTTTTTAACCGTGTGCATTGACGCTGGTTCACATCTCTGTTTTTTTTTTTTAACCTTTTCGTCTTCCTTATCATTTTTTCCACAAATCTTTCCAGTTGTCACAAGAGGTTCCCATTTCTTTCTTTTCATAGTATTGACACACAATTATGACTGCCATATTTTTAATAAAATTATGCTATTCGACATAACTGCTGCAATTAGTAAAGTAATCTAAATGAGCGTTTTCACAACATGGATACCTCTGTAGCACTATCTACTGTTTGCAACAGCACCACAGAGCAGAGTTCTGACAATCTAAGAACAGACTGTTGAAGCTTAAGATGCTCAGCCATGTGGATGTAGAAAGCAAGGGAAGACTACCACTCCAAGTGAAAGTCAAAAAACAGAACAGCATCCTGTCCCCTAAACGGAGGTATTTTTGTAGTGACCCAGACAAAAAGGTGACATAGGGTGCAGTTTCTGGAAAAAGAGTCAGAAGCCGCCCTTTGCCAAACTGGATACAAGACAATGAAAATGCAATGGCTTTAAAAGCACTTATGGCTGAAGAATTTGCTGGAGCAAGAAAGACTGTTAGTGGTGCCAGACAAGAGCGAGGTTCTGTAAATGATCCGCTGATTGATGATGATGATTTTGTGGCAACTCTGAATGGTGCTAGGCCTATATATTATACAAAACAACACTTGAGTTGGGGGGGGGGGGGGGGGGTGATGTGGTCGGTCAGCATCATGCCAGACACACTTTATTCACAGGAAATTTCAAGGTACTCATTTTACACTGGTGGACCTGTTGACTCATTTACAAGAATCCATCTCATTGTTCATTTACAATCAAACCTTTTGCCCCATAAAAATATAAAAATTTGAACTTTTCTAATTTCATTTTTTTTAAACGCATCTTATAATTCTTTGAAACTGTACCATAATAAACAAGAAGAAGAGATGAAGAAGTAGATGTAATTTGGAGTCTTGATAAGTGTTTATAAATATCCATTGGGTTGAATCCTAGACCACATTGCAGAAAGCATGCATGAAGTTTTCAACTTTTTTGATGAAAAATATTGTTTCCCACTTACTAAATATTACTTACTGGAATTTTTTTTTTTTTCATTATGGGAAGTTATCTATAAACAACAAATGATGCAAAGAATTAATTTATTTTGTTCCGTTTGACCATTAAGAAGTGGTTTTGGTTCTTTTGTCACAGACAGCAGGGTCACTCAATATTGAAATAAATGATATCATGCTGACATAAAAAATATTTCAGGGAGAGTAGTGCACCTGAAATTTGAGGCTGATGTCAACCAGCATGACAGTGAACATGATATATCAAGGAAACCCTGGGCATGACAGTGAACATGATATATCAAGGACACCCTGGGCATGACAGTGATGTGATACATCAAGGACACCCTGGGCATGACAGTGAACATGATATATCAAGGACACCCTGGGCATGACAGTGATGTGATACATCAAGGACACCCTGGGCATGACAGTGATGTGATACATCAAGGACACCCTGGGCATGACAGTGATGTGATACATCAAGGACACCATGGGCATGACAGTGATGTGATACATCAAGGACACCCTGGGCATGACAGTGATGTGATACATCAAGGACACCCTGGGCATGACAGTGATGTGATACATCAAGGACACCCTGGGCATGACAGTGATGTGATACATCAAGGACACCCTGGGCATGACAGTTTATAAGGTGAGAAAGCTGGCAGAGAATTGGTTAGTTTACAAATGTGTCATGATGAAGGCAGCGTTTTCAAAGGACTTTCTACATGATGATGATGTTGACGAAGAAGACAAAACATTTTACTGAACAGGTGAGCTCACCTTCCACTCTTCCAGACACCTGTCTTGTGTTTACTGTGGACACAAATAACACATATTTCCATACAAGTGTTGTATATTAACATATGTTAGTTATTCTCCTGTATTCTCCTTTAAAAAGGAAATGAGTATATTCTGTTATTTACAGCTAGGCAGTGATATCAGCACCTAGTGGTACACACATATTTTATTTAGATATCTTTTTACAACAAGTTTGGTAAATGACAGTGCGGCAAAACCTAGTTAGAGAATGGAGGTGGAGGAAGTCACTGCTGCCTTTCATTAGATTGCGAATCAGCTGTACACACACGTTGCAGTTATAAATGACTCACAGAGCCTGATTAAGCTCTTGCAAACAGTGATGGACATTTGTGTGCTTGTGTGTATAAACCATGAAATAGTCACTGAGCTCTTGCATTTAAGAGATACAATTTACTCATACCTTTGGTAACATTGCATTTCTGGAGGTACACGATCACCTACACTACTCAGAGTTAAACAGTGCATGTCATGACACAAGGCAAAGAAACAGATAACTGTTACAATGATTGAAGGCAACTTACATGCACCAATCTCTTTTTTCAGTACAGATCCATACTGTTGAAGATCCCCATAGTCAGAGAATGAGAACACATTTTTTGCTGAAAAGGCAATGCCTTCAATTTCTGCCTTGTCCCGCAAACCAATGCCAAAGCTGTAGACTCCAATACCAGCTTGGGCCAGCTGAGTTTTTTCTTCACTGATCTGGTGTGGAAATTGAGAAATAATAGTTTTACAGTTCTGTTAGTGGTTTGTTTCACTAATATTATAACAGTTTGACCAGTTTTACAATATTATTATATTTTATCAGGGTTCCAGCCCTGAGCTTCATGAACTCAGGTGGGCCCACCTCCGAAAGTGTCTAGGAATCGTGGGCCGAAACACTTGTCGACGAGGATAATTTCTACTGACGACTGGTAGATCCCTGCTGTACTTGCTCCCTGTGAGTTTATTCCTATATGACACCTGTATCAATATTGTGTTAAATTAGAAGACCAATACATCAATTTTAATGTTGACACCTTTCTGTTTTTCAGCCTCTCTATAGCAAGACTGAGCAGTATTAGAGAGATCATGTGTTTCCCAGGCAGCATCATCCCTCTCTAAGCCCCATATATGTTCAGAACAACCAACATTTAAACAGATGATGTAGTCAAAATCACAAAGGGCCCCTTTACTTCTGAGAACATTTTTTTTGGTTACCTTGTTTAGGCTGCTAAACTCAGCATCACCCAATGTAATTGAAATCTATGACTAGCTGCATCCCCTGTCAGTATGTTAATCATTGCCTCAGTGAATCAACCAACACAAATCTATGACTGGCTGCATCCCCTGTCAGTATGTTAATCATTGCCTCGGTGAATCAACCAACACAAATCTATGACTGGCTGCATTACCTGCCAATATGTTAATTATTGTCTCGGTGAATCAACCAACATCAAGGATGATTGGCTAATAAACAGCATCCTTTCTCGAAAGCTGAAATATTTTGGTCATATCAAGCGCCACGACGGATTGTAAAAAATTATAGCAGAAGGCATGATACCAGGAAGGAGGGGCAGGGGCCGACCAACACGAAGATGGGCACAGGATATAAGTGACTCCTTGAGTGTGAAAGTTCATGAGGCGGGAGAACTGGCAAGAGACCGAGTTTCTTACAGGCAGACTGTGATGAGAGCGATGTTCTGCAAAGGACCTGCTACATGATGATGATGATGATGAATCAACCAACACAAATCTATGACTGGCTGCATTACCTGCCAATACGTTAATCATTGCCTCGGTGAATCAACCAACAAAAATGGACAGTAAAGATTGGTAGTGCTGAGTAAAAAGACATTTAAAAAATATATTGTTTTGTCTCCATAATCAAGGTTGGCTGCAGTCTGACTGACTGACTTTCTACCCCACCAGGACATCACACAAGCGATAAACACCAGATGACACTAAGCGCCACCATGTTGGTGAGGATCACTGTGGAGAGGTCCCAGAAACTGTGTTCAGCGTTTAGGCCATATTTAGGGCTGGGCTATATTGTGGCCCCTGGCAAAAGCCAGAGTAGGGCTTCAAATAATGAAAAATTTCAACCTAAAAAGGACAAGAAATAGTGCAATATTGGCTACAGTGTACAAACTGTTGTCTTTGCGAATATTACTTGGTGGGGCTTCTGAGTTTTAATGTCTGGGTACACCATTCACACAAAGTAGGAAAATATATATAGTGTTTAACATAGGATACATTAAAGCAAACCAAGTATTGGAACAGTTTTATTAACCCCCCCCCCCCCCCCAAACTCCTCTTACAGCATAAGTCACACCCAGTCAGCACACAGAAACATCTCATACAAAGTATATTCATTCCTACTCTACGCTACCAGTGCCAGACATGGTCACTAAAAAAAAAAAAATTCCAGATAATTAGTAACCAAAGAAATGAGATGTCGGAGAAGAGATGCAAGAAGGACCAGAAGAGATAAAATCAGAAAAAAGATCATAAGAGATAAATCTGGCACAGAACCAATTCTAAATTATATACAAAGACAACAGATCAAGTGGTCTGCACACTTAGAGAGAATGCCTTGTGACATCATACTTTACAATGTGTGCACCAAAAGAGGAGGACGTGCAGCACAAGGTTGGCCAAGAACAACCTGGAACATCACAGAAACTCTACAACAGCACGATATGTTTATGGTAGAGGTAGCCGGAAGAGGGAAGAAGCAGAACCATTTATCTCTCTTGACACTTGAAGTGGTAAAAGAGGAAGTGAAGAAGAAGAAGAGGACTTCATCTTAAAAATGCAACCAGAAAACCACAAGAATATCTTTTTACAAACAAACGTCTACTGTGCAAATCAAACTCTAGTACTAGAGAATAAGGAAATCATTAAAGGTTCAAAGCGCCAGAATATGTTCTTGATGTTCATGTAAAACTGGCTAGCACAATTTTGTGATTTTATTACTTGATATACATCTTTACTGAGGTTTAAAACATTTCATGTTCCTTGGTTTTAATGGACAAGTGGGTATGCTATCTGCCTCACATTCTGAATGTAATGGGTTTGGGTTTACACTTCCAGCACATTAGCTTGCATGTGCATGTGACCTAGTATATATGCACCTGACCTAGTATATGTGCACGTGATCTAGTAGTAAGTGACCTAGATTATATGCGTAGGCCCTATGACCTATTAAGTTACCTATGAAAAATGCATATGAACTAGTGCATGATCTATAGTCTCCAGTATGATAATTAGAACATGAGACTGATTTTATTATGACATCCATTAAGCAAATTATGATAGCCAAACAGGCACCATTTGTTTGAAGATTTGGCAATATTGTAATGCCACCCAGTCAGCAGACAACAAAAAACACACCATTTTGTTTAGCTAGTGAAAGCTGGGCAGTTACATATGCAGAATGAAGTCAAAGGTGAAACCTAATTCTGTTTCAAACTTGGTAAAGTGCTCTTGAGACAGCTGAATTGGTTAGTTAATTAGGAATAATATTTATCAAATTAAACAAATTCATCCGCTTTTATCCTAACAGTTAGTCTTCACATATCTATTCTCTGACTCTGGCAATCAGTTTATCATTGCAAACAGAAATTGGACGTCCCATCCCAGCTTCATTTTCAATCACTTTCATATCTGTTTTGAATTTTGAAAACCACGTCATGCTGAGATAAACACTAATGCTTATGAACTTATATAGGTGTATTTGGTCTAGTACATATCCATCTAACCTAGTATTTGTGCACATGTCCCAATATATGATTGAATGACCTAGCCTGTGTGTATCATATGCTTTTATTGTATAAATTCACCTTTGAAAACAAAACTGAGATATGCATACCCTTCGCTTATCTTGTCCAGAATTGGTGTCTGTAATAATGATAACAGCATTAGGCACATTCTCTCTGTCTCCATTCTGAGCAACAAATATTTCTGACCGGACTCGTCTCAATGTGGTCAACAGATCAAATCTTGTTGCACTGGCATAATTTTTAGTCAGCCTTCCTATGGCAGAAAGAAGTTCCTCATTTGTATTGTATCTGAAACAGGACAATGAAAACAGATTCACAATTTACACATATGATGTTTAACTTATCAAGTTTTATCAGACGGCAAGGAATTTGAAGAGAAGGGGGCAACTGAAAATATAAAACTAAAGATAAAGGGGGGTACCCCTTCCCTACCCCACCTCAGTATTAGCTGACTTCATTCCATCTTTCCAGGCCATTGCAGTCCAGTGTGCTGTAGGGACTCATAGGAATCATAGCCCTTCGCATGCCAATCAGAAGTGTGACTAACAGAAACTAAGAATAATCTTCCAAAATAACTGCAGCAGCTTCAGGACAAATGTTGCCATTAGATGTATTTGATCTGTTTCTTCTCAGGCGTTTAGCAATGATTGCATTTTTTTTCTCCTGTCTCAGTTTAGATGCTGTCTAAAAGATTTACGCTTAGACCCTTACACTTACTAGGTCTTGTCAAAGTAGTTTTGGTGATCAATTTCCTTCCTCTTTCCTCCATTTTAGATAATTTTAAAAAAAAAAATCAATCTTGTCCTTTTAGCACTCTGATTGATCCACAGCGTAAGAAAATAAAAAGTTAAGGACTGTTGTCCATGTCTTGTAGAATACTGAGCACATCAGACAGGGGGTTCCTCCCCCTCCCCCCTCCAACTTCCCCCAGAAAACAAAAGGTGCTGGTAGTCACCACAAAAGATGTACCGGTACTCACAAGTATTCTTTTACATTAGTACTGCATAAAAGATAAATGTCAAAAAAGGGTGTCAGTACTGCAAACCACTAGAAAAAAATCCTCATCATGCCCCATATTCCTACTGATCAACCATAATACCAAAGTTTACATGGTCAGAATGGCTCTGGCAGCTTAAATCTCCTAAAATATTTTATAGGAATCAATTTAGGTTGGGTACACCTGTTGGAACAAGTCAGTTTTGGGAAAAAATCCCTTCCTAAATGGAGATTTCAGATTATCTCTAAGCAGGCAGGCAGGACAGCCACTGTGTAGCCACAGCTTTACGTGAAATAGCGACCAAGCTTAAAATGGGTAAAAAGTAAGGTCCTGGGTCTAGCATCATATGTAGGATGTACCAGTGGTGTCAAAAGGATCCTTTAGTTAGGCCTTTAACTCTTTGAGTCTCAAGCAACACATCATATGTTCATAGATTCCTACCTAGAAGCCCAATGAACGCAAGATGTGCCCATTGTACATCTTTCTTGACTACCCCTTGGGCCTGTGATGCTAAACCACCTGGGACTCAAAGAGTTAATAAAAAATCATTGTCACTATAGGCTACTGAACCTGAATCACTGTCTCTGAAAGTCAGAGACTAAAAACTAACTTCTTTTTCTTTATTTTTATGTTCACAGACTGTAAACTCGAATAGAAAGTTCTGGTTGTTTATCCACCTCTGGCTGTTAGTCTTGCTTCAGAACCTGAATGTTCTTCTATCTTACAGATTTGACTTATTTGTATGCAGACTGTTGATTGTTTGCCTCTCACGGAGATGCAATATGCTTTCAAAGAAAGCCCACAATTAGTCAACTCTTACAACATGCTTGCTCAGGTGTCAGTGGGTCAGTTCTTGTTTTTCCCACAACGGGGTCCCTGTACCCACAGGGGGACTAAACACTAAAAATACCAGCTTCTTGTGGAAACTGAGACAAGTAACATATTACCTGTTGAGTCTGAAAGCAGTACCGCTGCCATCAAAATAGAGAGAGACTCGAACCCTTCCTCCACTGACATCAGCTGTCTCTACTATGGACTGGATATAGGATATAAGAAGGTTCCACTCCTCTTGACTTCTGCGAGGCTCAAAGTGAATCACAAAGGCCAGATCAACTTGGTTCACTCCTAAAGTTTGTAAAAGAAATAAAACACATGCTAGTTTGGTTGGCAGATCACTTTTAATGCATGTCAAACCATTCAATTAATAAATGTCTGAATCCCCTGATTTGTCAGGTACACATCTTTTATTCGTTCAGTTCCTAAATGTCTGAATCCCCTGATTTGTCAGGTACACATCTTTTATTCGTTCAGTTCCTAAATGTCTGAATCCCCTGATTTGGCAGGTACACATCTTTTATTCATTCAGTTCCTAAATGTCTGAATCCCCTGATTTGTCAGGTACACATCTTTTATTCGTTCAGTTACTAAATGTCTGAATCCCCTGATTTGTCAGGTACACATCTTTTATTCGTTCAGTTCCTAAATGTCTCAATCCCCTGATTTGTCAGGTACACATCTTTTATTCGTTCAGTTCCTAAATGTCTGAATCTCCTGATTTGTCAGGTACACATCTTTTATTCGTTCAGTTCCTAAATGTCTGAATCTCCTGATTTGTCAGGTACACATCTTTTATTCGTTCAGTTCCTAAATGTCTGAATCCCCTGATTTGTCAGGTACACATCTTTTATTCGTTCAGTTCCTAAATGTCTGAATCCCCTGATTTGGCAGGTACACATCTTTTATTCGTTCAGTTCCTAAATGTCTGAATCCCCTGATTTGTCAGGTACACATCTTTTATTCGTTCAGTTCCTAAATGTCTGAATCCCCTGATTTGTCAGGTACACATCTTTTATTCGTTCAGTTCCTAAATGTCTGAATCTCCTGATTTGTCAGGTACACATCTTTTATTCGTTCAGTTCCTAAATGTCTGAATCTCCTGATTTGTCAGGTACATATCTTTTATTCGTTCAGTTCCTAAATGTCTGAATCCCCTGATTTGGCAGTTACACATCTTTTATTCGTTCAGTTCCTAAATGTCTGAATCCCCTGATTTGGCAGGCACACATCTTTTATTCGTTCAGTTCCTAAATGTCTGAATCCCCTGATTTGGCAGGTACACATCTTTTATTCGTTCAGTTCCTAAATGTCTGAATCCCCTGATTTGGCAGGTACACATCTTTTATTCGTTCAGTTCCTAAATGTCTGAATCTCCTGATTTGGCAGGCACAAACCTTAGGAGGACTGGCATGCTACTGTTTTACTGACTACTACATGCTGAAGAACACTAGCTTTAAAACCCATGAAGAAACCTACATTAGACTTTTAGGTTCTTCTTCTTCTTCTTCTTCTTCACTTCCTCTTTTACTGCTGTGGGTGTCGAGGGAGATATAAGGTTCTGTTTCTAGCTCTTCTGGCTGCCTGGACCATAGGCACATCGTACTGTTGTAGAGTTTCTCTGATGTTATCCTTCCATCTTGTTCTTGGTCTACCCCGTGCTCTACGTCCTTCTTCTCTTCCCATGTATGCTTTGTATGGTATGGTGTCACAAGGCATTCTCTCTAAGTGGGCAAACCATTTCCCTTGTTGTCTTTGTATGTAATCCAGGATTGGTTCTGTGCCGACTTGGTCTCTTATGATCTCATTTCTGATCTTATCTCTTATGGTCACTCCTACAGCCCTTCTCAGACATCTCATTTCCGTGGTTACTAATTTTCTTTTATGGTTTGTTGTGAGTGACCATGTCTGGCACTGGTAGCACAGAGTTGGAATAAATATGCTTTGACTTTTAGGTTACACTTCAATAATTGAGAAGAAGAGAAGTTATCTATCTACATGTCTCTCTGCCTGCTAGTCTATCCTCTGTCTGTCAATCTTTCAGTAAACACTTTTAGCCCCAGACAACTGTTTTATGAACAAACTTTCTCAAAGTGTTTAACTCATGCCTAACCCAGACAGTTGTTAACACTCATTCTATTATTGAACACTGTTTCCCATAGTGTTTGTAGTTCTAAAGTGTAAAAAAACATGGGGTAGAGAGAAAGTTGGAATAAGTGTATGATGTATGGGACAAGCAATGAACTCACTGTACATATCCTGGTATTAAAAGAGTTAAGATATTTTGCTGTGGTTTGACCAAAGCTACATGAAGATTATGGGCTACTATCCTCTAATCTTTAACCCTAAGCCACCAGCTTAAAAAATACAGAGACTTCAGTGATTAGATCAAAGCCAACTCATTATAGAAGGCAGCATTATGTCATTGTACTTACCCCTGAGATCAAGAGCACTTGGTGCCTCCTCTGAAAAATTTTAATATCTATTAAGTTTGTATTCTAAATTTTATGTGCGTGTATATATATATATATATATTAAAAAAATATATATATTCTTGAAAATAGATCTCTATATACAACAATAAGAAAGAGACAAACACTGTTCTTTGGCCACATAATGAGAAGAGAGACACTGGTGAACACCATGACAACTGGAAAGATAAGTAGAAAAAGGGGTAGAGGCAGACCAAGAGAGATGACGCTGGATGGACTGAAATGATGGCATGGAAGAATATCATCAAGAAAGCTGTCCAGACAACCAGGAATCAAGATCTGTGGAGACACATGAGCGCCTACGCCAGTTGGCAGGGCACATGATGATAATGATATTTCTTCTTCTCTAGCATTCCAAGCCTTTGAGGTTAATTGCTGCAGTTCACACACGTCCTTTTTATCTCTCCTGATGGACTTTTCTTTCCAGTTGGTGACACCAAGTGTTTGCAGGTCTGTTTGGTCATTATCTCTCCATTGTTTTCTTGAACTGCCTCCTGGTCTGTGACCATTCGGCTCCCTTGTGCCTACATTTTTTTTTTTAAATCTCTTTGTCACCTGACACTCTCACAATGTTGTGTCCCAGTTATTTCATTCTATAAGCTCTCATTATTGCAGTGATCAGTTGTGATTTAAACATGCTTTGAAGTAAAAGAGATGAAGCCTTGTTACAAACTTTTAAAAGTGGAGTCTTACTACGATCTTTGGAGCATCAAAGATGTAAAAAACAGCTGGGAATGTAGAATGAGAAGCAATAACGAAATATGTGTGTTTTTGTGTTGTTGTTTGTATCTTTCCGTCTTTCACGACAGTGTATACTATGTAAACATGAGACTATCAACGACAGTGAGTCAAACAAGCAAGCCCTGTTAGTGTGTATGAGGTGTCAGGTTCTTTGATGACATCACATTTAAACAGTTTGACATTTGATGTTTCTTTTCAAAAGCTCCGTTCTTGAGTTGCCTTGCCTGCAGTGCTTGTTATTCCTTGTCACCAAGTGCATGATAATGATCCATAAATGGGAAGATTAGTGATATTGTTATAAACTGTCTCGTGCTAATACAACAGTGACAAGTTGATTAATTTTTAATAGTATTTAACATGATTTAATTATTATAATTTTATTATTACCAGTATCATCAATACATTAAATCCTCTGTAGGAAAAAACGTGAAAACTTTTACTCTCATCATTAGAAGAGAGCATAAAATATAAAATAGAAGAGAATAGAAGGTCTTACTAACTACATTAAATCTGTGTGTGGTTTCACCCCTGGTTAGTGCTTGAATGAACCCAGTGTGTATGTTTTTTTCTAGAGGGTGAGCTGTGTTCATAAGTTCAGACTGCAATACGTGTTTATAAGGGATTTGTTAAAAACTATAGAAGAGGTAATGTGAAACAAAACATTTAGTAATGACACGACATCCAGATCATTAACACAGCAACCATATCTGGAGAGAATGGTTCAGCAGTGGTGACCGATGGGAAAGGCTTTTTAATCAGGTTGCAGCTGACACAGTCAATATGGGAACCGTTTGTTACACTATTTTTTAACGGCTAAACATTAGGCAGAGGGCTAAGAGAATTTACCGAGTGTGTGATATCGGTTCTTGATTCATTCTTTCAAATCATTTCATGCATCAGACCGATGCTTTTACTAGGTAACCATGATATCCATTCAAATAATAGGACATAAAAATGTTCAACTATAGATAGGCCAGTCACATAGCTCCGTCACGACTTGGTGAAGGTAAAAAAGAGAGGATCAACTTCAGTATCTCTTGGCAGAACAGTAAGCTGCCAGTCGAAAGCGTTGCACAGAGCACGACCTCCATAGATCCGATCCCAAAGATCTCTGTAAAAATTACAATCATGTACTGAACGGCTCCGCCGTGAAATGAAGCTACGACCTGCAGAGCGCGAGGCAAACCGCTTGACCACTTGGCCTCGGAAACCCGCTCCTGACGACCTGGAACACCCCACTGACCCTTGCCAAACCCTTGCATCAGGTTGTTCCCCCCCCCCCTTTCCTCACAACCCGGAAAACCCCACAGACCGTTGCCAAGCCCTTGCATCATGTCCCCCCCCCCCCCCTTTCTCACGACCTGGAAAAAACCCACAGACTATTGCCAAGCCCTTGCGTCAGGTTGTCCCCACCCCCACCCCGTCTTTTGAAATTAAATCGTTCCCCTTGTGTGGTACACCAGAGCTTTTAAAAGCATTCTTCAGCGCTACTAAAACAGACACTCTACTGTGAGTGGCGCCACCTATCATTAAACTCTTAATGGTGAGTTCCATCACCTTCTGTTTTTCGATGGGGACAACCCTTTAGGTCTTCCCTTACCTCTGCTTCCAGGAATAATTCCCACCATTATTACCATTTTGTGTTGTTGAAATAATTCTCAATCTAAGTCAGCGAAACCTTGGTACTGACATGTTCTACCTGGTCAGAGTCAAAGGGGTATATCCTTGCCTACTTTGATGATGAAACATAAATCGATTGCTGCTAGCAAGTTGTGTGTTGTGACTCCTACTTAAACATAGGAAAAGAGGGTAAGATATAATACAGAAAAGCTGCAAGGATTTGTATAGTCACAACATCAGCCAGAGAATGCAATCGAAGAAACTGAGAGGTTAAATTGGATCAATGAAACTACAACACAGCAAATATTGTTAAAAAAAAAAAAAAAACTGCCTTACTGCATATGTTAATCACCTTTACAGTGTAGGCAATGAAGTCTTTGAGCCTGCAGTGTTTATTATTATTACCATTATGTTTTCCCTCCAGACTTGCAGTCT